GACTTTCAACAGCAAAGTAGGACTGAGGAACTTCTGAGCTCTATACAGAGATACACACTCATGCATATACACAAAAAGAATTCAGTGAATTATGGGGTCAGTAAGGTGGTTTAGCAGGTAAAGTAAAGGTACTTGCCACCAAACCTGTCAACTTGATTGTGATTCCCCAGAATCACATGATAGAGAGCAAGAACTGATTTATGAAAACTGTTCTTGGAATCCCACAGGGGTACTATGGAACACATGCCTACACAATATAAAATAAGTAAATATTTTAAAAGAATTCAGTGGCAAGCTCTTAACATACAGTACTCTATAGATTTATATTCAACAATTTTTCCCACTGTAAATGTTTTTTAAATTTACAATCTGTAGCCTGGAACTCACTGGCTTTGTTTCCATCTCTGCAGCCTCCCTGCCTCACATACCTGCTCAGACTACAATTTCAGTGCAGATTACAAGATACTTATACACCAGAAACAACAGCCTCCTAGTATATTCCATCTTGCAAAGACAGCAAAGGAGAATCGAAAGAACGGAGAAATGAACTAGAATATATACTTCTTAGAATAAAACAGGGTATTTCAAAAATTAATACAAAGCTGGGTGGTAGCAGCTCATGCCTCTAAGCATTCCAGAGGCAGAGGCAGACAAATCTCTGTGTGTTCAAGGCAAGCCTTGAACTCTGGTCTACAGAGTGAGTTCCTGGATAGCCAAGGCTATACAGAGAAACCCTGTCTGGAAAAACTGAAACCAAAACAAGACAAAATAAAAAAAAAAAAAATACAAGAAGTCAGGGCAGGCAGAATATGCCTTTAAGGCCAGCACTCAGGAGGCAGAAGCAAGCCAATCTCTTGAGTTCAAAGTTACCCTGGTCTACATAGTGAATTCCAGGCCTGCCAAGACTACATAGTAAAATCCTATCTTTAAAAAAAAAAAAAAAAAGGAGGAAGGAGAGGAAGAAGAGGAGGAAGAAAGTCAAAGAGGGGAAAGAGAGAAGAGAGGAGGAGGA